TGATGTCATCACATGATGTCACGTTATGCGTCGTCGAGATGAAGTCGAGATAATTTCCCGAATCTCGGTGATACGTGACATCGCTATATGCTTGGATGTGACTTCATCGCATAATGGTTAATTTTTTTGCATCACTCGTGCTGATGCCCACGCCGTTGACAGTCAAGTTTCGCTTCTGATAAAGCATGTATAAGGCTTTTGCCTAAAAAAAATGAATTGCGTGAAAGCACATGATACAAATGATTGACCAGGAACGGAATGAAGTAGGAACGGGCGGCCCCAACATTTATCACAAACTGGGGTCCTTCGATATGTCTTCTGTTGTAGCTTTTGATTTCTCTGTCACAACGTTTTTAGCCGAATGATATTAAGAACACCTAAAAGAGTTCACGGGTAGCGGTACATGCTGCAGCCATTATCAAACCTACCTATAAATGCTGAGAAAACCTTAGCAGTAACCAGAGCGACCGCGAAGACTTTTCGATGTGGATTACGCTACAATCGCTTCTTCGTCGTAGTTACTGCGCCCTCACCGCGAGCGCCGCATTCTGCCATCTTTAACACATATTCAGTTCCGCTGTGGCATTACACTGAATACAGCATTTCCTCGCATCAAAACTGCATCAGCATTTCCTCGCGTCAGGAAATGCATGAGCATTTCCTCACGTCAAAACTATCATACGTACAATAAATGAATAAAAAAAAAGAAATCTCGAATACAGGCGAATATTTTAGATATCAATAAAATGTATGAAAAATACGACATTAAAAATTTTAACCAACGTAGGACTCACAAACGGTAATTGAAGAACTCAACGTTAGGAACAGGCAACAAGAGATTAGTCAGCGTGCTGCATTAAAAAATTTAGAAAGTAACAAAGCCCTTATATAGAATATATGGACGCAGGCTTCCGTGTAACGCCGGCAGAAGGATTATTGAAGCAATATATATATATATATATATATATATATATATATATATATATATATATATATATATATATATATATATATATATATAGCATCGAACGCGTTATTCGAAGGTCGTAGGTTCGATTCCTGCTCACAGCTGGTAATTTTTTCATCCACTTTTCTTTCTTCTTTCTTCTTATTTGCATTCCATTGGTTCTAATAACTTCCCCTGTACATTCCTTGGCATTACTGTCTGTTATATCTCATTAATATTGTGTTAAAACTCGGAAATACGAGCCCTTACCTTAGGTATACACTTCTCTCCCTTATATATATATATATATATATATAAACATAGTGCCTGACATCCCGACAGCGGGAGAAAATGAGTGAAAGAGAGAGAAAAAATGGCTGCGCTTGAACGACTCCGATGCGGCTGACTATAAAAAATCTTTGATTTTCCCCCCGGCACAAGAATACTATACGCGGCATTAGCATACGCGAACGCGAGCGAAAATGTGAAATGGTGACGTACGTAGGAAAGAATGAGGTATAGCGAACGAACGGATGGAGCACGGCGAGAATACGACAATAGTAGTGCCCGAGGTTCCAAGTCCTTCAATCTCAGTCTTTTTTTATTTTTCTGGTGGATGTGTCGACTCTGATTCGGTGCGAAGAGAGAGACATAAACCGCGCTCCACTCTGGTGTATAATGCGAAAGCGCTGGCTGCTTGCCGGCGACCGTCATAAGCGGATATTTTCGTCCGATAAAGAGATGGTCGCAGGAGAATAAGAGATGGGGAGCGAGAGGGCTGGAAGGATGGAATATTAATAACTTGCGGGGTTTTCCCACATGTTATCCCAGAACCACGATATGAGGGGGGACGCTGTAGCGGAGGGCTCTGAAAGCTTCGCCATCTCGTGTTCTTTAACCTGCGCTGACAGCACAGAGAACACGCGCCTCTACTTTTTCACCTCCATCGAAACGCGACCATGATAATGATAATAATTATTGCTGCTCAACGTCCCAAAGCCATCATATTGTCACGGTACAACGCGAACAAAACACAGGTACACCTTGAGACAACGGAAGCAACGTGTTCTCAACAGCTGAGCCACAAGATCGCCTTCTTCGGTCTCGAGTGAAGCTAGAAGCCCACTACCTATAGTGTCCACTAAATCCCCCATCATCGTTTTCGTCCACATGTAGACACGCGTCAATATGATTGAGAGACGCCGCAGTGGAGGGCTCCGGAAATTTCGACCACCTGGGGTTCTTTAACGTGCACCCAAATCTAAGAACACGGGCCTCAAGCATTTTCGACTCCATCTTAAATGCGGCCGGGATTCGATCCCACGACCTGCGGGTCAGCAAGCAGTCGAGTGCCGTATACACTATACTGTCGTTGGCGGGTGCGGAAGTGAAGATCGAACCTGCGACCTTCGAACCTGCGACCTTCGGTTCAGCAGTCGACCGCCCTAACCACTACACTACCGCACCGACGAAAGGAAGGAAAGTATACTGAAAGCCAACCAGAACAAACTTTCGGTTTGGTATACACTTCGCTGGGCTATGCGTGGCCGCGCACTGGCAACAACAGATGAAAGACAGAGAGATCACATTCCCACGACGGCTGCTGTTCACAGCAAAGGAGGATCACACTTGTCGTTACTAAGGGGTCACTCTTGCAGGCTTGTTATTAATTCGAAAGACTCAGGTGGATCATCAAACACAAAAATTGGCCACCGGCGTCAGCAAGAGTGATAAAAATAAAATCATCGTAGGGTGATGACGTCACCTAATGACGACGCCCTCACGATGCCGAATTGTGACATTATTTGTGAGGTAACGTGATGACGTCATTGGACGAAATTGTCGTTTACGGATATAGGTGTGCCGATCCCGGAGGCATGTGATGTAAAGAAAGCTTGATGTGCACCGATGCCAAAGTCAGTGCGTTTCTACGCAATGTGTAGAAACATTTTGGGGGGACGCAGCTGATCGATACAATCGAATGAACATAAAACGAAAGTCGATATCATCCTGGAATCATCTTAGGCGCTGTCAAAAGACATCGTGTGAGTTTTACAGCAGAAACTAACAACAATAAACTAATTTTTGCCAAGAAAGTGAGTTTGTATCGCCTATTTCTCAAAGAACGGGCACCGGCATCCCCTCCCCCTTGCCCTCTTTTGAGCATTTGCCTGTTTAATACTGCTCTCAGTACTGTCTCATCGTTCACAGACTCAAAGAGCGCAGATGAAGGTGAAAGAGATTTGTGGAACACGCTTTGTAAAGTTCATTGTGTTCAGTGAGCACGCTAGAAATTAACGTGTCACTACAACTTTAACTTGAAGTGATCAGGAGACAGTCATTACTTTAACATCCATCATTGCAGTGTAGCGCGACACCTCGCGAAGAACGGATACAGAAAGGACAAACGAAAAGCCCTTTCTGTATCCGGCCTCCGCAAAGTGCTTCGCTACCTAAAGTGGCGGATCGTTCCTAGCTAGGCCGAGAAAAAAAATGTCTGTTGATGCATAGCGTCTTTTGATGACTTGAGTGCTATCTTGCAGCACAGGCGATACTTTTATGCGCTTACGTGAAACGCTTTCGAAAATTGCTACGTGCAGTCAGCAGTACAATAGCCTTGATTGTGGCGTATGGAATGGATATGCCTTGAATGTAGAGACTGTGTTGCGTTGAAATAGATGATTTAAAGAATTCAATTGGTAACTAGGCGCAAAGGGCTTAGACACCATTAACTTCTGATAGTCCCGCGTCTATATGTTTGCTTGGCTCCTAGAGTGAGGAGCTTTTGTTTTTGTTTATTTACGTAATACCCTGGTTGCCTCGAAGTCATTATCTAAGAGGAGACAGTTTGAGAACCCCGTGTTACAACTTTATAGTAAAAATCAAAGAGGATTCATAAAACAACGTTTACACCAAAGTAAAAAAAAAAAAAGGTAAAACAGATGACAGGTTAGCATTCTCGAAGATAAAAGAACGTTCAAAAAACAAACTTAGAACAATAATAGATTACCATAAATACACGTGAGAATGAAAATTCCGATTGTCGGATACAGAAACGTACATTTCCCGGAACAGGTTCCAGTTCCCGTACAGTTTGAAAGAAGAAAATTTTGAGGAAAGCTCGTTCAGGCACCTTCTTGGAGTGGCCATGCCATGTCGAGACATAAAATTGTCCGTGACAGGCAAGTGATGCTATAAATACCCGTTTCTTTAGAGAAGATACCATGGAAAGATATGAGTCTGAAACCAACTGTATACTTACGTCCGTGAAGATAAATAGGCTAAGCTGGAGGAGTAACGAGACGTACCAGAATAAGCGCCAGTACAAAACATTACCAAAATACACAAAGACGTGAATCATGGTGTAACAATAAAATTCAAAGGCCACGCGGTAAGACCACCACTTCTTTTTGTTCGCTCTTAATGGAAGCGTGGCCGAATTTAGTTTACCTAAGGGTGTTTCTTGGGGCCCTGTATTGAGGCGACAGGGACAATGTTTTTATCGGAGCTTGGATCAATGAAAGTAGAAGTGTTCGTTGGCGGCGTTCCCACTTTTGAGCAAGGATCGCATCGGACGGGCGGGACAAACTTCCAACTCCATAATCTCCTCTACTCCCCCGTGTACGCTTTATTCCCCAAAGAAAGCAGCATCGGTGGTGAAAGGAACGGACAGGCCCACTCAACATGCCACGAGTAAGCGCGAGGAGAGTAAGCTCATAATTTCACGGCCCCAAGAACATAGGATCCCGATGCGCCACTGAAGATGTACTTGCGCCTTATCGAGCTAATACATCATGCCTTTCTTACGCCGAATGGCCCACACATCCTGCCTAGTTTGGCGTTCTCCGCACATTGCAGAAGACAAAAGCTACGCAAGACGTGACGTGTTTAATACAAGGCTTGGCCGTTAACAAAAGTCTTGTGAGAACGGTGGGCTGTGGATCTTCGTGGTAATACTTCTTTGTGACACGCAGTATGGCATCGTTTCATTTGGGCTTAATGAGAAAGCTTGGTGAGAAGACACGCTACACTTAAGGCACGGCCGAGCACCCACCTGTCTAGCATAATGCCCTGTCCTGAATAAGAAAGCTGCACTTCATACAGATTAAGGTTACCCGTTATGGTGGCCTACAGTGGTAATGGTGCTCTTTGCTGGGTCGAAGATCACGGCACCAAATACCGGCCGTGGCGGCCGTCACTGCTATGGATAGCAACACGCTTGAAGCGCGTGAACTTACATGAAAGTGTACAATAAAGAAGAGCGCTCAACTATACGGCCTACCTCGTAATCATACATGTTTATGAAACCTAAAAACACAACAGTTTTTGCTATTACCTGGTTAAATTACGTAGCATTTCGAACAATGGCGAACAACCACTTACCTTCTTCTCCTCCTCGTTCGTCATGAGGATGATGGTATCCTGGGAGTCGGCGCTCGAATCGCTGTCCTCCTGACGATCGTCGGGCGTCGAGCTCGCCGTCGACGGGGTCGTGGCAGCCGGCGACACCGGCGTCGTTGCCATCGGCACCGGTTGCCTGAAACTCAACGGTCGCACTTCCACCGTCGGCCGATGACGAACCACCTTGAGGTCGTCGACGACGTCGCTCACCACCTTCTTGGAGACGTCATCTACGATGAGCCCCGGAGGCAGGAGCTCGGCCAAGTCGGCCTCGATGTCGCCGCTCGAGTTGCACTCGAGCTGTTTCTTCAGCTCTAACAGGATAGCGTCGTCCTCATCCTCTGGCAACACGGGCGATGACTCGTCTCGCTGCTTGACGTCTTCATCGTCCTCCTCCTGGTCAACGACATTTACTTTCTTGAGGTCGTTCTCACTGGGTAACGGCGACGGCCTACCGCCATCGATGTCACCCGGCGGCACGACCACCACAGCCTTCGTAGTCCTGACGTCGGCGACCACCAGCGGTCGTTCCTGATCAATCCTAGCCTCTTCGTCACGTTTCTGAGTGTTTTTCTCTCCTTTCCTCTGAGCTTCTTCGAGAGCTGCCGTCTTGGCCAGGTCCTCGAGGATTTCGGCTGTCGGTGGCGGAAGCAGCTGCGCCTCGTCCTCGAGCTTGCTGCACCCGCGGTCCTCCGCGGCGACCACCGGCGGCCCAGTAACCACGGGAGTCGTCCTCGGCGGCGGGGGCGGAGGCGGTGGTCGCTCGACCACTCTGATCTGGACAGGCGTCGTCGTGGGTGCGGGCGGAGTGTGCTGAACGGTACTACCCTGCTGTGACTGCTGCGGCGACGGTTGCTGCTGTTGCGCACCCACCTGAGCCGATGCTGCCGGGATGCCGCCGGCCTGCGATGCCTGCTGCGACGCGGCTGCTGCGGCTGCCGCTCGAGCCGCGGCCGCTGCCGCGCGGGCCTCCTTGAGGAACGGCAGCAGGTACGCGTCGTCCCGGTAGCCGTCGGGCGGGTCGAACGGCGGCAGGTCTCTGTACTCGGGCGGCGGCTCGTACATGGCACACACCTCGGCGAAAGTCAGCTCGGCCGTCCGGATCACGTACAGCTGCGCCTCGGGGTAGTCCTCCGAGAAAACGGTGAGCGTGTCACTGAAGCGGACGCGCGAGCCTCGCCGAGGACGCGTGGTCGAGGCGCGCTTGAGGAGCGACTTGAGAGGCGCCGCCGACTGCGAAGACGCGGCGTTGTTGCTCGCCGCTGACGCCGGACGTGCCTGGTGCTCGCAGGCGCCGCGCAGGAGCACGGGGCAGCCGCACAGACCACCGGACTGCTGCTGCTGGTGTCCGTGTTGCCTGAGCTGCTGTTCCTGCTGCTGTAGCTGCTGTTGCTGGCGCATGTTGGAGACGCACTCCTTGAGCGCGGCGCGGATCTCGCCCGACACGCCGTCGGCGCATCCGCAGCCGGCGAAGTGGCACACATTCCCGTTGGGCAGCAGGCGCTCTTCGGCGGGCGGCTGGTGCGCCATGGGGGTAAGCCCGCCGGCCAGGCTCGGCGGCCCGGCAGCTCCGGCGGCCAAGGGGCTCGAGGAGGGAGCCTTACTCTCGGGCCCCCGACACGACAGCGCCGCTAGCATCGACCCGGGCCCGAGGTTAGGGCCGCCGGTCCGGCGGGACGCAGGCGCCGAAAGCGCCGCCGCCGTTGCCGCGCCGCAGTCGGGTTGGCGTCGCATGCACGACGTCGTTGACGAGGACAGCGGCCTCTCGCGGCAGCCACGGGAAACCTGCGAGCCAACGGAGTCGAACATTTCTGCGATGCCCTCCTCTCTCTCAGACATCAGCCGACTCATCGCGAAAAGAGCCGCTGGAGTGACGCGCAAAAATAAAAAAAAAAAAAATAAGAAGGAAAGAAAGCGGGTCACGGAGGCGGGCGTCTTTTGAACCGCGCGTTCTCAATTTCTGAGCGAATACCTAAAACACCGACTATAAGAGAATACAAGAGCTGCGCGCGTGTGTGCGAGCGCCAGAGCGAACTTATTTCTGAAATTCAGGGGAAAATAGCCCAATATGACTACCAAACTAGGCCTAAGCGTTTAGAGAAAGTGCAGGTTCCCCCGAATACGTCGAGTGATAAATTAGCCAACCAGCGAATTTAACAACATAAAACAAGTTCATCACAAAGTCACAAGCCCTTTCGGGGTAATCGGTCGGCCTGTCGATCAATCAGTCATAATTCAGATGAAGCGTAATTTGATCGCCCACAATCTGTACATCTTTTCACCAGCTTCATAAATAAACACACGTATCAAACTGCGTCTCTAGCACGCATGTTTTTTTTTTTTTTTTTAGTCAGCCGTGATGTGATTTTCAGTTCTGTTTCAAATTTCATTCACGTTTAATAATAATGTCCATTCAGAGCGCGGCTCAGCTCACTGGTTTCATACGCTTTATCTTAGAGAGATAATTTAATGTTACGCTAGTACATTATATGACTATATCTTAAAAATTGATTGAAGTGGTGTTTTAGGTGCTGATGTAAATAGAATAAATAGCAATCATGAAATAAATAAAGAGGTGTAAGTATTAACTTAATTCATGTGGAACCAACGTAACCAGGTGATTCTAATTTCAATTTCATTGAGACTAATCAAATCACTCTGTCTTCCAGTTACATTGCACACAAATGAAGACCTACTCTTCGAGCTCAATCCCTTCCTATAGTTCGATGTTTCATGAAATAGGCTTAGTAATTTGTAGCAAATAGTAATGCGGTCAGTAACTCAGTAAGCTCAGCAATTTAGTAAGCTGTCAGCCAATCAAATTGATTTTTCACATGTTTTGCAGGGTCACTGAATAATCCGCCCCAGAACGAAATACGTTGAAGCTGTTTCAACGCTTCAGGGTCACTGAAAAACATCGGCAGCCATCCCTTGCGCGCGTTCTTATTTGTACACGCGCCGCACTGGCCCGCAACCCATCGCTTTGCCAACATTGCGCACAGCTAGGGGCGAATCGGATCCGCTTCGTGGCCTTGGCGCGGTCTTAAGTGCAACGGGATTTGTACCGGCGTTGCGATCGGTCGAGCGCACTTTCTAATCCCACGGAAACGACGGCTCCCTCTATACGCATCACAGAGTCGATGTTTCAAGTACTCCAACAAAAGTCGAATTCTCGGCGCGTTTATTCTATCATTCTGGGAAAGTAAGCATCATTCGCTCGTTGCGTTTTTTTTTTTTTTACCGAATGTCAACTTCTATCCCGGCAGCACCCAGCCCTCTGCGAGATGAAGAAATAATGTCGCTTCTGTTTAACAAATACTCGAGGGCCCCTTTATTCGGAACTACTGAGTATATACGTCTTTTGTAGCTTTTTTTTTCTCTTACGTAAAATGCTTACGTGCCTCATCAAAGACAAAAAAGTGACCTTCGGCGCGTCCGATGCGAGTGATGCAGAGGATCACCATCACGCGATGATATCACCACATCACGTCACAAATCGCCAGAATATATGTGGCCTTAGTATGTGCCGTGGCGACACGAAACATTATTTGCTTAACTGTCGTGAGCTTAAGACAGAACGTCAGTGTTCAGGATCACCACGTGACCATGTGAATGATATTGCGTTTCTGCGTGGTCACTCGACCTTTAAAAAGCAGGTGTCACGACTATGTACTCTTCTCGTTTTTGACCGTTCAGAGAGCGATCACGTGGACGTCACTGTGATGCGAAAAGCCTAAACTGACCCCCGTATTCTAGAACGTACCTTCCCTCAACGCTTCACCTTCACTTGGAGAAAGCCGATGGGAGCGCCTTCTCTAGGCACGGCAAGTCACTGCATATCAGCAATAATCTGCGGCGATTCTTGAGTAGCGCAGCGTCATTTTCAGCCGAGCGCTGGCGCATTGCTCAACTGTGTCAAGTGAAGGGTGGAAGTCGGGTCGAGGAGCGTTTGTGAATACGGGCATGAGCAACCACCTTGTCCGGCCATTTGTGTCGTCTTGCGTTTTGTACCACTTGACAAGTTTTGAAGATGTACACATACAAGTGCATGTCATTATGCAAACTTTTGAATTAAAAAAAAAGGAAGCATACAAGCAAGCCCACTTATAGATAATGTTTCGTTATAATTTTGATATATGTGTGCTATTAAGGAAGAATGGCACAACCCTGATCACGTGAGCACCAATATAGCATCATCCGGCCTCCGAAAGCAGCAGAAAAGAATATATAGAAGCCAAACCAACAGCTCGTCAACTATACTAACTTATGCACCCATTGTTAAGGGAACGCTTCACAAGTAAATAAATAATAGAAACACGCGGAGCAGAGCAACAGAAATATATGGTCTGAACCGACGACAATATGTAATGACTACTCGACCGACAACTGCGAACAGAGTGGTTGAAGATAGCGGAAAAGAAGGCGGTTGCAGAAATTGAGTTTCCGCAATGAAACTATATACTGCTCTGGAATCCCAATACGGGGGGGGGGGGGTGCAAAAGTTACGCTTGCGAAAAAAAAAATTAAGGATGGGGGAAAAATTCTATGCAGAGACGGCCAGTAAAGATCAAAATTATTTCAATAAACTGAAAGAGAGTACGAACACCAAAACAAACTCGAACGACACTGAACGCGAGAGCAGGCACATCAACACGTCCGTGGGGGAGGGGGGGGATGAACAAAAAGAGAGAAGGCAGGGAGGTTAACCAGGCACATGCCAAGTTTGCTACCCTACGTCGGGAATGGGAAGGGGGGCATAAATATGAAAGAGGGGGAAAAAGAAAAGAAAGAGAGAAAAAATTGCCGCAGCTTCCCTCGGGGGAACACTGAGGAGGATGCGGAGCATATAATTGGTTAACGGGGTGTTAAAGTGCGACTTACTTGGGTCGATGGCTAAATTGGTTTACGTGGTTGTGAAATGGGGTGTTAAATTGCGACTTACTTGGGTCGATGGCTAAATTGGTTAACGTGGTCGTAGGAGGGGGTGTTAAATGAGTGAACACGTACACACGTATGCGAAAGGGCGGCGCTGGTCGAAGGGACGTCGATCATTGTGTTTGTGGATTCGTTGGAATTCATTTCACCGCGACCTTGGACGTCGACGCGCCGTACAAACCAACCGACGAGCGGCAACTGAGCGAGCGAGCGCCGACCTTGAGTATATATACAGCTCGACGGCGCATGCACTGTCAGCTGTTGAATGTTCTCGAAGCGCGACGCCACATGCGCGTCCACTGGAGAATCAGGAGAATTGTAGATGTCGAACGCGGTGTGTAGAGGAGGAAGGCTGCACAGATGGTGGAGGAGTGAAGCGCGCGCGGTGTGTAGAGGAGGAAGGGATGCAGAGATGGTGGAAGAGTGGGCGACGGCGCGACGGCACATGCGCGCGCGTCAGCTGTCGAATGTTCGAGAAGCGGTGCGGACGGCGCGGACGGCGCACTACAAGGCGCGAGTATAAGATGCTCCGCATCTAAAAAAGAGGATTGTCAGTCAATGGGCTGACGCGTATCCAGTGGTGGCTTTACACAAAAGTTAAAGGTGGTCACGTAGGCCTGTAGTCCTCAAAAAGCACGTCCGTGAAATTCGATAGGAGATTGCGCCTAACAGCGATGCAATAACCACGCTGCTGAGTTTCGCAACAACGAGATTTAGGTCTATGCCGTAGAAAAGCGCATCTTCGCTCGGCGAAATGAGTTTCATTCGTAATAAGCGTCGCTCCGGTTGGTCGTCGACGAAGCGCCGGTCTACAATAGTCAACAATAAGACGCGTGAACATTTTTTATGACATTTCTTGTGTTTAGTGAATAGGCATTTTCTTGTATGAATTTCGCATTCTTCTGTTGTTAATGAAGATTTAATGGTTCAAATTATTATTTAAGAAAGGAGAAGTAGCCGGGGCCATGCGAAGGCACAAACCTCTCCTTAAATTAATCGTAGGGGCTTAACATGAGCTCTTCGGCTGATGATACCTCTTTTCATAGCGCTGACAAAGTAGCGTTAATCACAGCCTGTCGCAGACTATGCAAGAATGTCCAAATTCGAGCGCTACAAACTAACGCGCGAACCGGCTGTGGCACCCCAGGTTCGCAAATTTGCAGAAGGAATAATTATGGGAAGGGGTGGGGAAGTGATTTTAAACGAAAAGAAGAGAAAACTGAGCCCTGTAACTATCTCTCAGGGGGAGGACACCTCAACAGTAGCTCACGAGAGTTGGGGGTAGAGAAGGGATTAAAAGGATAGCATTAAAAGGTAAAGAGATAGAGAGAGAGGAAGGAGAGAGCGAGGCGCAGGTACAGTGAACGACGGAAGTAAGGAGAAGACAGGAAAGATGGACACGGTTTCAGGAGTCCGGGGACGGGGTACCACTGGCGAGATCTCTTGTCGGCTACAGGAGATGGCGTAGGGCTAATCCAGTCGGCCAGAGCTACGCTGTCGTCGTCGTCGGGGACCGGCGTCAGGAGGTGGCGTAGGACTATAGCCCCGTCGGCCAGAGCTGCACTGTCGTCGGAAATCGCGAGGGCACAACCGGTCGGCACGGAATCCAGCGAGCGAGTCCGAATAATTGTGGGACACTTCGCAAGTATACTTGCATGTAGGTATTCTGCAATAGTTTGAAACGACCGATGTTAAGCCTACAAACGTTCCTTTTCTTTGCGGCACGGTTCAAGGTGACGCGCACGGGGTCCGATTAGTTGCCAACCATCCCAGATTTTGCGGGGTTGTCACGGCCTTTCGTACAACGTCCCGAGTCCCTCAACGTTCTTGTCGGGACACCTATGTGTCCC